GCGTCAAGGGTATCATTAAACCACTTGAATGTCAACTTTGTTCGACTGCAATCATGTTTTCTTATCATGTTGACTGCAATCCTTCCCTCCTCAGGAGCTAAGCCTCCAGAGCCTCAGGAGCCTGATTGTGTGGTGATGTGGCAGATCCTTCACAGTGGCTTCACAGCTTTCAAGATCCTTCAAACTACCTCAAGAATCAAACATCGTAAAAAGAAAGCAGATGTCTCCAATTGATTTATTGATCCTGTCTTCATTTGGCTTCTTTGTTTTTACACCTTCTCTTTGACCTTTTTCTTTATTTTGTTGTCAAGAAGACCCAGCCAACATACTTGTGGTACTACTGTGAATGCGCACTTGAGATTAGCGGACAAGTTTGGGGGCTCCTTTGTTGTTCGTGTCCAAGGCCCTTTCGACGTTGTTTTACTTTCAAAGAACCTAGTAGCGATGGCCTCCACCCTAGGAGCAAGAAGCTACTAGGAGCAAAGGGCATCGGTACTAGGAGCATGGCCTCCACCCTGCATTTAGATGTTTTTTCTTCACTCCTCCGGCCTCCTTTGTCCTTTTTCGCGTGGCCCTCGCGACTGTGGAAACGAATGTCGCCAGGACGACGAAGGCGGAAGACGAAGGATGTGAGCTGTCGACGATTTAATTTTCAAAAAGTACTTCAAATAAGGAAGTAAATAGAACGTTACTAGGGGTTCCTGGCCTTACTACTAGGAACAAGAAGCCACTAGGGGCTCCTGGCATCGCTACTAGGAGCAAATAAGGAAGTAAATAGAGTCATGTTATAGGTCCAATACAAAGAGGCAGTAGGCCACTGGCTAGTAAGCTTACAAGCTTGAAGACCCCGCCTGAAGGGGAGGAAGCTTCCTTGAAAATCCCCTCGCATGATTGAATTGGTTCCTGTCGTTTATTGGGAAACTAGTAGGATGTGAAGACTTTGCGCTTTTGGTAAACTGCCCTGAAAATCCCTGAAGTCTTCTATCTTTACCTTTGCTTTGGGACTTCCTGCCTCTTGAGTCTAAAACAGAGAAGTGCTGCAAAAAAGTAGCGATGGCAGGAGCTACTAGTAGCGATGCCCTTGTTGCTGATTTCAGTAAACAGTAAGAATACATTTGGCAAATTTCGGCAAAGTTCCACATGCCGAGATGGTTCTGGTAGGAATATGTAGGAATAGGAAATCTCTAGGTTGGAGGCCATCGCTATTAGGAACAAGAAGCTACTAGGGGCTCCTGGCATCGCTACTAGGAGCAAGAAGGCTAGTAGGTTGGAGGCCATCGCTATTGCGAATAGAACATCTCTCTTGAAAGTCTTCTCCCTTGGGTCGTCAGTCGGATCCACTTCGATTCTCCAGGGACTCAACTCCGACCTTCCAAGCTGCAGTGCTCCCTGCTTTCATTGAAAAAGAGAGAAGCGAGAGCACGAGATGTTAGGACGCTACCAGTAACAAGAGCATCGCTACTAGGAACAAGGAAGCTTCTAGGAGCAAAGGGCATCGCTACTAGGGGCTCCTGGCATCGCTACTAGGAGCAAGGGCCTTACTACTAGGAGCAAAGGGCATAAGAGAGAGCTCTGAGAGCGTGTCTTTTGTCCGGGGCGGCACATGATGATACGATTCCTCAATGTTTCAGTTTTGGGTCACCTGACTATCTCCTACTTTGTGCCATTCGCCAGATTCCTTGCTGACTACATGCAGAAGGAGGAAGAAAAGATCTCTGGAGTCCTGCACTCAGTTCTTCGAAGGAAGAAAGACAAAAAGATCGAAGGCCTAGAGTCAAGCTGATGAGAGCAAAACACCTGCATTTGTGGAGTCAGAGCGTTCGCAGCCGTTATACATCATCCAAAGCTACTAGTAGGAACAAGAAGCTACTAGGAGCAAAGGGCATCGCTATTAGGTGCAAGGACGCTACTAGGGGCTCCTGGCCTTACTACTAGGAGCAAGGACGCTACTAGCATCGTTTCTTTGCGAGTTCATTGCGTTCTCCCAAGCAGCTGTGCCAAGGGAGCTGCCTGTCGAGACTTGTTTCAGCTTGTAAATCGAGTAGAAAGCAAGAAAGACACCCCTTTTGGCCATGATCCGCGGCCCTTGTCTTCAAGCACCTGACACGGAGTGGAACAGCACTGGTGTCGTTCGCATCGGACATGATTGTTTGCGTGTACTGTTGTGCAGCCAATTGTCTCTACTAGCTTCTTTGTTCCTAGTAGTAAGGCTTTTGCTCCTAGTAGCGATGCACTTGTTCCTAGTAGCTTATTGTTTGTCGTTAGGCATCGCAAATCTGTTCGGTTTTCTCTTAGCGAAAAGGCCAATCGAGTTGTGAGGAACGATTGTCGACGATATTGGACAAGTGGATTGTCCACACACCAGAAGAGGTGTGACAGCAGCAATTGCTATGCCTGAAACTACAATCACATCACACCAACGCACCAACGCACCTCGGCCTCGCCCATTCCATCCAATCACATCACACCAGCTGGCGCAGCGGGATTAGATGGGCCTCCAACCTAATGGCGATGGCCTCCAACCTAATAGCATGATAGAAAAGCTCCCGCTGCTGTCAATGATGCACGTACTTTAACATTGGTGTGGGCTTCGGCAGCCGCCGAAACGCCGCCAAGCACGCAAGTGTAAGGTGCTTGAACACGAGCACAATCAAAGTTTGAACTCAATTGTCAACATCGGGTGAGGCTGAATCTGTATTTGTTCTTGATGTGGACCTTTCTCTTTAAAAGTCTTCCTTACTACTAGGAACAAGAAGCTACTAGTAACAAGTGCATCGCTTCTAGGAACAAGTGCCTTACTAGTAGTAACAAGAAGCTACTAGGAGCAAAGGGCATCGCTACTAGGGGCTCCTGGCATCGTTCTCTTTTTCTCTTTGCAACCGGCGACCGTCCCTGCACCGCATCGACTTGCCAACACAGCACTGCAGCGAAAAGTGAGAAGTCCACAGATAAATGGTCACATGTTTAGAAGGATTTCGCACTTGCCAATCCAACCGCACATCCTTTTGTGCTTCCTCTTTTTCCTCTTTCATTTTGGCCCTTTGTGACCTAGTGCTAGGTTACATGTTGCAGCATCGTTTGAAACAGTTGAAACAAAGGAAACATTCCAGACATTTCCAGACAGTCCCTGATTTTGAGGGGCAGAAGGGCTTGGAGGCCATTGCTCTTAGGTTGGAGGCCATCGCAACTAGAGTGGAGGCTATCGCTAGTAGTCCGATCTCCTTTTTGTGATAGTTTCTCTCCACGGTCGGACGGCACTTGTTCTTGAGCAAACAAGAAGCAAACGTGAAGCCTTGGAGATTGCGAGAGATGTAACTTCCAGAAACGGCTGTTCGCACATGCAGGAACGCTACTAATTACTAGTACCTGGGTTTTTCTGTGTTGTTTTCTTTTTTTTCCTTTGTTTCTCTTCAATGCTTTCTTTTTGCGATAGCGCTACTTCGATGGTCCCAGCAAGACGAAATGCCCAGGATCTTGCTTGGTGAGATCATGTTGCCTGGCGAGCCTGAAGTTTCAGTCCAAAGGGCGTTTCAGAAATAGAAGACATAAGCAAACATAAACTGATAGCAATGGCCTCCAACCTACCAACAATGGCCTCCAACCTAACAGCGATGGCCTCCAACCTAGAAGCAAACATCAACTATGAAACGTTATTTAAAGACGAAATCTGCTTCTGCGGTTCGTCCCGGAAATCAGACGAGTCTTTGGGAACATGATTTGTTAATGCCCTGCATGAAGCTCAAGTGGCAGTGTCAAGCTCAATTGAAGTTCGTCCTAACTAGAGGCCATTCTTTCTAGGTTGGAGGCCATTGCTTGTTACTAGTAGCGATGCCCTTGTTTTTACTAGACCAGGAGACCTCACCATGGCCAACGATCCAAATTTCCCCGAGCTTGTCATTGCCAAATTCACGAGAGGTCTCTCACGTGTCACAACGTGTGGCCTCCTGGGGTTGAGACTTTCATGCGATGGAAAGACTCGAGCGACTGGACATGTTGATCGAAGGTTCGCTACTAGGGACAAGTGCATCGCTACTAGTAACAAGTGCCTTACTAGTAGTAACAAG